GATAGAGAGACCTCTTACAAATAAAGAATGAGCCGGGCGGTGGAGGCGCACGCCTTTAATCCCAGCATTCGGGAGGCAGAGGCAGGCGGATCTCTGTGAGTTCGAGGCCAGCCTGGTCTACAGCGCGAGATCCAGGAAAGGCGCAAAGCTACACAGAGAAACCCTGTCTCAAAAAACCAAAAATAAAATAAAATAAAATAAAATAAAGAATGAGGTGGATGGCTCCCGAGGAAGCACACATGAGGCTGACCTCTGACCTCCAGCATCTACATACATGTGCACCTACGCACATGTGAGCACATTATCTATCTCTCACTATTCTGCTATTGTGGCCCAAACCTAGAAACCTGCTGAATCTCCTCAGAACCCCTTTGAGGAGCTGTAGAAGCCAGAAGCTCACCCCTCCAAGCAGAAACATGCACAAAGCAAGGCCTCCCAAATCCACCCTGGAACCCAGGCTGAGACCCCCTGTTCTACAAAAGCTCTCTACACCAGCTGTAGTCCAACACCAATGGTCACTGTCACTCAACAATGTCCCTGCCCCAATACTGGCCCTCCCAGGGCTACTGACTTGGGACAGGAGCTCTGTGCTGCCCTGGCTCTGATGCCAACAAGGGCTCGGAGACGGCAGAGCCAGGAATGCCTGTGGGGTGGGTGACTCTCTGGGGACTGTGGAAACTGTCACTCTTTAAAAGCTGTCTGTCAGCCACAGCACCAGCACAGGTCCCTCAGACAGAGTAGAGTCCTCATAGAGACAGCTCCAGGCGAATCGCTCACTGTCCCTTCTTTTTAAAGCTGTGTTGGTGTGTGTGTACGTGTGTACGTGTGTGCGTGTATGGTGTGTGTGCATGCCTGCATGTGTGATGCAACCAGCCCACAGTCACACGTACAAAGACAAATGTAGGCCTGGGGTGTGGTGTTTGTTCCAGCCTCTTCAAGCATGGACCCTGTTGTAATTTAAAAGTAAACACAAGGACAATAGCCACAATGCACTGACAGAATCCGAAAGAGGTGACGTCACCACGGGGGAGCCCTTGCATGGGAACTGTGGCCTTGCTCTTCACACAGCTGTACACGCCCTGGGTGAATCCTTAGTAATCTACTTCATCTCACACAGATGGAGGTCAGAGAGGTGGTTCGGTAGGGAAAGATACTTGCCACCAGGCCTCATGACCTGAGTTCCATCCGTAGCACTCACGTGGTAAAAGGAAAAAACTGACTGACTGACTGACTCTTGCAAAATGTCCTCTGATCCCCATGTGTGTACCTGCAAAATGTCCTCTGACTCCCATGTGTATACCTGGAAAACGCAAATTAAATACATTTGAAATCGCATGTATGTGTGTGTGTTCAAGCTTCAATTCCCCAGCACCACCAAAAATGTTCTACAGGTACACACATATGTAAATGTATATGCACGCGTGTGACAGCTCCAGCCAAATCACCCATTGTCTCTTCTTTTTAAAGCCGTCTGTGCGCGTGCGTGCGTGCGTGCCTACACCTCTTACTTTACCTCTGGTCTCTATGGTTCAACCTTCTGGGGCTCCTCCAGCCTGCTCTCACCGAAGCACTGTGAGTAGTTTCAAAGAGACACCCCCCTCTGCCCCGGGGTGCGAGAGGGACTCTTAAGATGGAAGCCGCTCTGGTGGTGAGGACATGTTCTCAGTAATATAAAGGAAAGTAAAGCCCCTAACCTGTTGAATGTAAGTGTTGGGGGTGGGGACGGAGAAGGAAGGAAGGGAGGGAGAAGGGAAGAAAGGCAAACAGGAGGGATGTTTTGAGTAGCCTCTACCTAACCAGAGGTCTAGAGGTCAGAGACACAAACAGGAGAGACGTCTCTGTTAACCCAGAGGAAGCAATGGCAACTGCCTTGGTGTTGGATTGCTTTGTGCTGAGTTAGGAGGTGGCCTTTGGGACCAGGCCTCTGTGGTCCAACTCTAAGAACTTGAATTGTGCCACTGAGCACTGAGGCCAGGGAGGAGCAGAGGACCCCGGAAAGTGTCCTCTGGCCTCGGCTTCAGGATGTCCATCACGCACTGCCAACTGTCCCTACTCTGGGGGACCAGTCAGAAGAGGTCAGCTTCCTGGCCAGGGGTTGGTATGTGACTCAAATTGGGCCAACTAAGATCCTTACATGGAAAAGCCCTAAGGCTTCTGAGGTTATTGGCTCAGAATGAGGTCCCCAGTATACACCCCAGGGCCACCAGTCACCATATGGCCTACTTACCTCCCATCTCACTAAAGCCAGAGTCCCAGAGGAAGAAGCTTCGAGAAGGAAGGCCTAGAAAACCTATCAGACCAGACAAGGAAAGTGTCTATGGGTGCAGCCCAGCACTCCAGCCTTGCAAACACCCCTATGCTCTCCCAGGGAGCGCATACCCCAGGTGAGCCAGCACCCTGGCCATATGGCAGTATAAGGGTCTGGGAAGCCCAAGAGAGCAAGGCCAGTGCACGGTGAACCCTGAGCCAGATCAGCCTTTCTGGGGTACATGAAATTAACTGGGAGATAGAGGTAAGAACCCAAGACCCCTGGCTGCTCTCCTCATCGCTGTCCCATGCTCAGGGCCTAGAACCTCAGCCAGGAATGAAGCCTGGACTCATTGTCCCTCCTCCTCCTCCTCCTCCTCCTCCATCCCTCCTCCTCCTCCTCCTCCTCCTCCTCCTCCTCCTCCTCCTCCTCCATCCCTCCTCCCTCCTCTTTCCCTCCTTTCTTCCCTGTCCCTACCCCAACCCCTTCTTTCCCTCACTTCCTCCCTCCCTCCCATCTTCAAGGCTTATCCAACTGAGCGTACTGACTGTCTCTTACCTGCCCTGTTCACTTCACCCTGTTGGCCTTGAGGCCCTGGGCAGCCAGGCCCAGACAGGGCCAGGGGGGAGGTGACTGGATGTGCACCCTCTTCTCTCCAAACTGGTGCCCCAGTCCAGGGACAAACAGTGTCCCTGTTTGTCTGTCCAGTGTCTGTGTTCTCCTTCCAGGGACCCCAGCCGGCAGCTTCCTCGGAGGAGGCGGGGAGGGTGCAGCTGGTGTCCTTGTCTCACACCCTGTCCCCAGCGCCATGGGGAAGAAGCAAGGACTGAGGTGAGGACAGGACCAGCTCCCACTGGCCTCTGCCAGCCCATGGCAGGGTGATCAGGCCAAGGGTCCCCCTGGGGCTGTAACTTCCATTCCCTTGGCTGCCACCAGGATGGACAGAATGTACCCCCTGACAAACGGCTGCCTCCCTGCAGTTTCCTGAGAGGCCCAGTTCCTGCACCGCACTGCTGCTGACTGAGCCGAGTCGGTCTAAGGGAGCTGCAGCTAGCACTGTCTGCCAAGCTGGACACCCATCCCGATACCTCCTTCCCTCCACTTCCCTGCGGCCTTTGGAAGGTCAGCTCCACTGCAGGATTCTGCTCTGATGAAGGTGGAAGGTTGGGTGTGAGCAAACCCAGGGGTGGGAAGTGGGGAGACTGCATTCACCACACAGAAGAACAGGTGGCCAGGGTCTGTGACTGTCTTGCCCTAGTGACACTATGAGCTGCCTGGGTGGTCAGTTCTTGGGATCTAGGCTGGACAAACAAGGCCGAGTCCCAGCATGTCTGTGTCCCAGTGTGCCTGTGTCCCAGTGTGCCTGTGTCCCAGTGTGCCTGGGTCTCAGTGTACCCGTGTCCCAGTGTGCCCGGGTCCCAGTGTGCCCGGGTCCCAGTGTGCCCGGGTCCCAGTGTGCCCGGGTCCCAGTGTGCCTGGGTCCCAGAGTGCCTGTGTCCCAGTGTGCCTGGGTCCCAGTGTGCCTGGGTCCCAGTGTGCCTTGGTCCCAGTGTGCCTGGGTCCCAGTGTGCCTGGGTCCCAGTGTGCCTGGGTCCCAGAGTGCCTGGGTCCCAGTGTGCCTGGGTCCCAGTGTGCCTGGGTCCCAGTGTGCCTGGGTCCCAGTGTGCCTGGGTCCCAGAGTGCCTGTGTCCCAGTGTGCCTGGGTCCCAGAGTGCCTGTGTCCCAGTGTGCCTGGGTCCCAGTGTACCTGTGTCCCAGAGTGCCTGTGTCCCAGTGTGCCTGTGTCCCAGAGTGCCTGTGTCCCAGTGTACCTGTGTCCCAGAGTGCCTGTGTCCCAGTGTGCCTGTGTCCCAGAGTGCCTGGGTCCCAGTGTGCCTGGGTCCCAGTGTGCCTGGGCCTGGGCAGAGTCTTGGTCAGACTATTAGAAAGAACTGAGGTAGCCACACAGTGACTTTTGCCAGGCCAGCCTGGCAGTGGCCACCCCGGGATATGAGAAGAGGCCCAGGCATGACACCAGCACAGCTTCCTGGCTCCTAGCATCCCCACTATATCCACAGCCCTGGTCCTCAGAACCCCTGTGGCCATTATTGGTCCCTGGCCTGCTGGCTGTGCCTTTCCACAGCCCTCCACTTCCCCCACCCCCACCCCGCAGGCCTCTGGGACAGTCCAGCTGTGGAATAGCTTAGGAAATGGAACATTTCAGCTCTCAAAGTGGCTTGCACACCACTGTAGTCTGGAGGCATACTGACCCCTATCACCATCCTGGGGCTCAAGACTTGCAATACAGGAACCCGGTTAATTTTGTTCAGTCCATTTCCCAAGCATATGTGATTGTGGGATGTACTTGATCCCATGATAGCCATGAAACAGATTTGGAAAATCACCTGCCCAGGCAAGAGGCTGAGGTCACAACAGGGCCTCCACTCCTGTACCTGCCATGGCTATGGATTTCAGCCGTCCTTGCTCACGCTGATGGACAAGCCTTGGGTCATTGGTTCCAGTGCAAAGACCTGGCACACCTGGTCACAGTCACACTTAGCAGGGGTGTGGCCTCCCAGCTGCCAGTTCCCCCACCAGGCTCTGGACCTTGCCACAGCCTTTGCTGTGTGTAGGAATGTGGGGCAGAACTCCACAACACATTCTAGAACTTCCTGACGGGTTGGTTTGGGCATTGCTGATGAAATATGGATAACTCCGGGAGCCTCCTAATGGGTCTGAAGGGTAAGAGACCGGACAGCCAACAAAGACGAGGGTGAGTCCCCACAGTTTATTATGGAAGCCAATAAAAGAGCCACATTGAGTATTTCACAAAATGCATGACATTCATTGTTGTAATATGCAACATGGAATATTATATACACATCAAAACCACACGACAATCAAAACACACACACGGCACCAGCTCATACCAAAACGAAATACACAAGTGCTTTCTCAATATTAAAACAACTGTGATAAAAACATATTAATATTTTGAACCATGTTTACAATAAAGAACAATTCATATTTTACTAAATAACAAATATTTAACAGCAAAAAACTTTATACTAAATATCTATTTTGAATTATAACAAAAATAGTACTTATAATAGTTTATAAAGACAGACACAAAATTATAACATTTATGAAAAAAAAAGTTTTGTGTATAAAATAATAGAAATCTGGGCAGGGTCAAAATGGTTGCCCAGAACGCACACGCCAGCGCCTAACTTCGAAAGTGCTTCAATCTGCAAGCCCGTGGCAGGAAGTCTTGTGGGGTTTAATTTTTTAATGTCAAGTTACAATAGTTAGGAATGTGAGAATACATCACCCATTAATGCTACCACAATGAAACACACGAACACGGAACAGACACGTCTACAGAGGTGATACAGGTGTCGCCCGCAGGCGCCCGGCCTAGGCCCCTTCGCCTGTTACCTTTGAGACCCACCCAGGCAGACCATCTTTTCTCCCTTCTACCCTCACACGGATCCCTCTCAGCTTTTCCTTCTCCACGCCTCCTGGGCTGGCCCCCTGAAAGGGAAGGCCCCTGAAGCCTGCTGGGGCCCTCCAGTCTCCCTGCCCCTCACCAGGGCCAGAGTTATGACATGCCACATCTTCAGTCTGAAACAGGCAAGCAGGGTTAGCGTGCAGGAAAATGACCCTTCCAGGCACTGAGCTGGTTTGTGGGGCAGCATGCACCTATGTCCTACGCTTTGATGAGTCTTTACACATTTTGGTCTGTTTCAGAACTGGGAAAGGAAATGGAGGGATTACACTTATTTTTAATTTCACATTAATTTTGCTGCTAACGTCTGTTCTAATGGTCTTGTTTGTTTGGGTTCTGTCAGGAAAACGCAGGAGGCCACTGAAACGTTTGGGAAGCACAGCTTACATAGGACAGACATCCTGTGTGGCTGGTGAGATGTGGCTGAATTTCCGTGACAGTGGCCGTCTAGGGTCAAGTTGATGTGGGCTGTCATTCTGTGTTTTTATTTTCCTGTGAAGAGGACCATTGCCTTCACAACACGCAAAAGCAATGGATGGAAACAAAGGCAAATAGGGATCTGAAAACAGACGAAATTGCCAAGAGACTCGCCAGAGCCCCACACTCTTCCCAGGAGGGGTCCTAGGTAGCCAGTCCTCAAAATGCCCGTCCCCCAGTCATCCCCACTGGCCTCTCTGCAACTGAACCACTTCTGACAAAACTCACTCATGCCTGTCCTCTTCCTCCTTCCTCCTCTCCTTCCCCATGGCTTTCTGTAGCCTCCCCTGGAGTGTCTCCAGACCCCGCAGGGGCCTGAGGCATTTCAGAGGGAGGGTTCTCTCTACCTTACCTCTCCGCTTTCATGGCTGCCCCACACCCTGAGCAGGGCTTAGCAGACAGTGGCATGGGGGTGGGGGGGGGGCAGGATGGGGGTGGGGTGGGGGACTCTCCCAAGAGCAAAGGGGCAGAGAGTGAGGGTTAAGGAAGGGAAGGCGAGAAGTCCCTTCAGAAGAACCCGTATCCTTACACATCCTCACTGGGGGGGTGGCTGGCACTGGGACAGGCAGTGAGCGAACAGGAAGTGGTGGCCCCCAGATGCACAAGCCCAGGACTTTGACAGACAGGAGGAGGTGAAAAAAAAAAAAAAACAAAACAAAAAAACAAAAAAAAAAAAAACACCTGGCAGAGATGCTGGGTGTCTGACTCTGAGGTTAAACTGAATATTTGCCTGGATCTCAGGAGGGCAGTTAACCTTCACCAGGGATCTGGGTTAGACCAGAGATCTGTCTTCTTGCCTCACATAAGCCCTGAAAAGGACAGCTAGGCCAGAGGCTGGCAGCTGTGTGGGGGCAGGCGTGTGCTCCAGACCTCAGTGTAGCCAAGGTCAGTGAATAAATATGGGCTCGGGGGCAGGGGTGGGCAGCTGGGAGTCCAGCTATAGCCAAAAACCACCTGGCTCAGTGGGTCCCATGGGAGAGGAGTGCCAGTGTGCCTGCCCAGGGCCACCAAGGAAGATGCTGGGGATTAAGCCTATAGGCCCCTGTACCCCAAGATCAGAAGAGAGAACAAATAGCAGCAATAGGTAATTTCCAATGTCCAAACTGGTTAGGCTGGTACAGGGCACCCTCAAGGTTGGTGGCAGTTCCTGCGCTGCCCAGGTTGACTTAGGTGAGAATCCCCAAGATGCTGTTCTGGACATCATTTGAGCAGTTACAGGAGGGGGGGGGTGCAGGGTGCCAAAGAGTGCTCCAAGGGCCCCCCTATTTTCTTCCCTCCTGCCTTCACAACCACCAGACCACCAACAAAAAGAGAAGGGGATAAAGAGAGGGAGCGTTCAGAAGGTCATAAGCATATTCTGCCGCTCAGCCAACTGGCGCTAACACTGTCATGGGCACACAGAGCCCTGTCCTGGCCCTGTCCCGGGAGCTAAGCTAGGGGGCAGTGGAGATCCAAGAGAGTGGGAGTCAGGAGGGGGCGGGGCCCTTTTGTATTAGGAGAGGGTTTGCTGGAGAGGAGGCCAGAGGAGGAAATCATAGGGGGCTGCTGGCCTCCCATCCAGCCCCTCCCCACCCCACAGGTTTCTGTCTCTATCCCCTACCCCTCTGCTGGGCTGGGCTGAGACCAGAGCGAGGCTACACTGTAGCGCTCAGCATGGCCTCTGTCTCGGGCAGAATCTCATTCTGATTGGAGTCCAGACCAAAGAACTTGACGCTGAGGCCACCCACAGGGTGCAAGACAGGGACCAGAGTGACGCGAGGGAAGGTCCGGGTGGCCAGCTCGAAGCGGCTGGTGCCGGCCAGCTCCACCGCCAGCACCTTCAGGAACAGCTTGGCCAGGTGCTTGCCCAGGCAGGTCCGCACGCCACCGCCAAATGGGAGGTAATGGAAGCGGCCATCCTTGTCCTCACTGCGCGCCTGGCTGAAGCGGTCAGGGTCAAACACGTTCACGTCCTTGAACACGGGTGCTGTGTCGTGAGTGTCTCGGATGCTATACATGACACTCCAGCCCTTGGGGATCTGGAAACCCTGGAGGAAGATGGAGCACGGAGTAGGGTGGTGAGAGCCAGAAGAGGCTCACTTACCTGTCCTCATCCTCAGATGTTCAAAGCCTGTCCCTTACCAAAGACACTCCCCCAGTATGCTAGTTCCAGTCTACATTTCTATGGGTCACAAGTAGCATCCCATGTGACGTACAGGTTGGCTTCATTCAGACTGAAAGCTACTCCTGCCCGCTCCTCCCTCTAACATACTAAGGACCCCAAGACGGCCATCTTTTCCTGGCTAAGCCAAAAGCCCCCGGCACCCCACCAGCAGCAGCACTGGAACCCAGCCTCACATCCAGTTCGAAGGTCTGCAGCACAGTACGGTAGCCACCAGAGATGGGCGTGAAGAGCCTCATGACCTCCTTGATGACACAGTCCAGGTAGCGCAGGCTGCTGAGCGTGTCCAGGCGCAGGGTGCCTTCACAGGGGCAGCCGCCACCGTGCAACAGACCCTGGGCCCGCAGTTCCTCCCTCAGCTTCTCCAGCACAGCAGGGTGTTTCAGCAGCTGCATGATCAAGGATGTGCTAGCACTGGCGGTGGTGGCATAGGCTGCGAAGATCAGCTCCAGGGTACCGTCCTGTGGCAGCAGAGAGACAGGCATTCTGGATTATTTGCAGCAGTCACATAGGGTGACCTACACAGCCAGCTTTCTCCAGAGTCCATCTGCACTGGACCTTACCTCCTGGCAGCTAACACTTTTGCTCCGAGCATTATTCTCAGAAGGCTCATGGGGGGAGGGGGGATCACAGCCTGACCCCCCAGCCTGGCTGGAAGCACACTGCTATGACTCAGGGCAGAAGCACAGGCCTGCTTGCTCCAGAGCTTAAGGTCACTTCTTGCTTAGTGCTGGACTCATGGTCTGCCCAATGCAGTGAGCTCATGAAAGAGAATGGACATGTTGTAGAGGCTCTGTACTCGTGTGTGTGTGTGTGTGTGTGTGTGTGTGTGTGTGTGTGTGTGTGTGATGGGTAACGAGGTATCTATGCCCTCAGCTTCTTCCTCCATCACCAGAAGAGGGATGCCTTTCAGGTGGTCAGATGGGCAGGCAGGATCTAGAAGCAGCAGAATTCAGCAGCCAGGACTAAGAGGGACTGCAGTGGATCCCAGAGGTTCCCTCATCCCAAGGCCTGGGTACTTGCTAATGAGGTTACAGCAGCTTCTCCCCGGCTTCCTGGGGAAGTCTGCAGATGCCAGGTAAAGGGGTGCAGAACAGGGGTGCAGGTTGGGGATGAACAAGCCCTCTCAAATGAAGAGCCCCCAGACAGGGCCTACTGCAGGGCCAAGGGACTGAGGCCCAGCTGTGTTCAGGCAGGTCAGGAGGGACAAGAGTCCCAAGCACGACTGGACAGACTGTAAGAGGAGGGAGTCCATATTACAGTCAAACCTCTCTGGAGTGTGGAGCTGGTCTCCAGTGAGTGGCTTCTGGGTATGTGTTTTTGGGGACCATGGAATGAACTGAGAGAGTAACCCAGGGATAGGCTCAGTGGGAGGTGCCAACAAAGGCACTCTGTAGGCCTAAGGGTCAGTGTTCCAAACATCTAAAGAACAATAGAGATGGATATGGGTAGGATATAGCTTCTGGGGCCTGGCCACCCCGGGACATAGTGCACCCAGCCGCAAGCCATGTGCTACTATAAACAGAGCAGAACAGCCCCAGGCATCCTTCAGAGCAAGAGCAAGGATCCACCCACCTTGAGCTCCTGCATGGTCATCTCCTTGCCATGTTCCTTGCTGCTCTCAATGAGGATGTCCAGGGCATCCGAGTAGTCTTTGCCCTGGGTACACTGCAGCTTCTCACGGATAGCCTTCTCGAGGCCCTTCTGAAGGATCTGCCGAGCTTGGATGCCCTAGGGGAAAGTGGACCATCAGCTCTTCTTGAAGACAGGACTCTTTCTAAGCCTCTGACGCATAGGAAAGGCTCCAGACCCATCCTTTTAGGACCTCTGCTCTCACCCGTCTGTTCCCATGCCCTGTGCTCCCTCCCAGCACCTGCCCGCAGTTTCCCTCACAAAGGCAGTCTTGTACCCTCTCTTCCCAGGCACTGGCTACTCACCCTTCGGTAGCCACTGAAGGGAAGGTCCACAGGAAGAGAAAAGACATTCTCCACAAACTGCTGGTATACCTCGAAGAGGTGGCCCAGGTCCTCCTCAGGGATGCTGAAGCCCAGCAGCACACGCACCGCCATTCGGAAGGTAAGTCGCTGGGCCTCCTGATACACATTGATGGCCTCAGGCTGGCTGCTCCAGGCTCGAAGTGTGTCCTGGATCACCAGTTGGATCTTGGGCAGGTAGCTCTCTAGCGCCTCGTGGCTGAAGATCTTGGAGAAGACCTGAAGGGACCCGAGGCAGGTGGTAAGGGACCTGCAGCCAGGGGGAATGCTGCCCAGACCCCTCCTACCAAGCTCCCTGGGGGTGGTTCCAACCCAGATTCCTGTGCAGTCCCCTACACTCAGTCCTCGGGTTACCGCCTGTGTCTGTAAGAGAGTGGGGGGCTCTCCAAGCCTTGGGGCACCACAGGGGCTAGGGTGGGGGCACACAAAGGGACTGAGTCCTAGGACCATAGGCAGAAGTATCAGGAGACGGGGGACATGAGTGTGGTCACAGCATACATAGGAAATAAGTATATGGCTCTCCTCTGCTCCACTGGCATGCAGGCAAGAGAACCTATAGCTAGAGAGAAAGTAGGACTTTCTGGGGACCCAAATTGTCATCAGTCCCCATGTAATGACTATTGGGTGGGGCTCTAGGAAGCACAGAGGCTGTACCATCCAAACATCTACTGTGTGGCCAGGCCTAGAGGAAATAGTGCTCTACCCCAGGAGACAGCAAAGACAGAAAGAAGACCCTTTAATTCTAAGCAGTTTCTAAGACTGTCAAGAGTCCCTGTTCCCATCTCCTGGCCTTGCATCCATCCTCCCGATTGGCTGGGCTGTGCCCTGCCTCCACCCCACCATGAGCGAGCATGTTTTCACACAGCTACCCTCTGGCCAAGAGAGGGAGGGTGTCTGTTTACTTCCTCACGGCCTGTGGGTCTACTTATATCCCCAGATACAAGTCCAGAGCAGGAGGTACCCCCAGAGCTGGGGAAAGAAAGAGGGAGAGTGCAGGGAAGGACACCCACCCGCCCGCGTGCGCACGCAAAACCACACAAGCACACTGGCCTCCCGCCTGCCCCCCCCCCCAATACCACCACCGCACAAACTGTAAATGTGAGAATTTCCCCTGCAGTCAGCTCATGGAGGAAAAGGTAACATTTTCCTGGCCTGTGCCCTGCATGGCTAATGGGAGGGCTGGTTTGCAGAAATAACAGTGCTGGCCCTTCAGTGGCCCAGTCACTTCGCACAATAGCACTTTCATTCCCCAATTCCCAGTGGGCAGAGGGAGGGGAGGGAGGCCAGTGAGGGGCAGAGGACCATACTGTCCAGGCCAGTTCCACTGCCAGGGAGCACTGCCAGGTTGACGGGAGGTCTTCTAGGTCACTCACACCTTGCTCAGTTTGGGGGGTTCTGGGGAATTTCCTGGCAGGGGGCTTCAGCAGCTACTTCTGGTCAGAGGGTTGTAGGGAAGACTGTATTGGGTGCCTGAGCCCTTTGTCCTGATGTTTTTGGAACCAGGTTCAGCCTTCGGCCAATGGGCCTTAAAGGGGGGTAGAAGAGTGGGCCCCCATCCTCAGGAGTCCAGTCAGTGACTACTGACCAACAGAAGGCTCTACAGAGAACAGAGCTCTGTGGGTTCACCAAGAAACAGTGGGGAGGCCGGAGGATAACTCACTGGGACAGAACACTGTGAAGAAGTATAATAGGGGGAGAAAGTGAGGCCACACTGGCTGGGAACCAGCAAGCGCCTGGATAGGGTAGAAAACGACCCGGTGGAGATCTGGGCCCAACGATGGCATATGCAAGAGGGCAGTACAGAGGCCACTGTCACCAGAACCAGACCAAGTCAAGCAAGCCATCAGGACACAGCAAGGAAGGTCAGAGTGGGTGTCCAGGGGCCTAACTTACAGTAAGGGATTTGCCACCCGGCTCAATGTGTGTCTGTGGTCATGATGATTACTCCAAGGCTTTGGTTTCCTCATCCCTAAGGAGGTGAGCCCTGCCCAAGAGACCTCTGGGATGTTTTCAAGACACATAGCACCTTAGCACCTATGTCTTTCTCAAGAAGAAACCCTTCCCAGCAGCACAGCCTCATGACACTTGAGTCCTGAGGAGACAGCATAGCACCCCACCCCACACCAAGGCCCCGGGGGTCCGGCACGGGCTACCCTAAAGGCTGACAGAAGAAGAGCATCCTGAGAGGGACCCACCGGCATCATGGACAAGCCCCTTGTGCCCCTTAGGTTACATTCCCTGCGCCATCTAGTGACAGCTTACTGAATCACTTCTCGGGCCCGAGGGGCCCAGGAGGATCTGGGGCTGAGCAAGGGGGGTCCAAACTTGTCCCCAAGTGGGACAGAGTCCTGAGAAAGGCCAGCAACTGGGGCCACTCTCCCACTGGAGCCCTGAGAAGAGTGAAAGCCGACCAGGCTCCCATCTAGACCAGCCTCTGGCTTGCTGCTCCTCCGGGTCGTTTCCCTATTGGCTTTACAAAGAGCCCATCTAGATGTTTCCAAGCCCCTTCCCACCCACCCAGACGTTCCCCGGTTCTCCTTGGAGGCTTTCATCCTGCTCTCTTCCGAAAGGTGGAGGGAGCTCAGGCAGGAGAACCAAGCAAAGGCTGGCAGCTGGTACTCTAGCAGGGGCCTTTGCCCAGAGTCACCAAGTCTATGGCCCTGCCTCTGGTTCAGCTGCTCTAGAGAGACAGGAGCCTCCCAGGCTCTGGGAGGATGCCAAGTCTGCATCTCTGGGTCTGTGCCCAGGGCTAACGAGGCGGGCACTTCCCAAAGCCGGGCAGCCCAGAAAACCTCCAGCCACCACGGAGGACAGGCGGAGGTAGGTGCCTGCCAGGGCAGGGAGAGGCCTGGGCCCCATCAGCTTGTTGGATCTGAGGCTGCTGGCCACTGGGGTCAGGCCTGGGGCACAGGGGAAGGTACTTGGGAGTGGCTCAGTTTGAAGACAGTTCTGGCCCAGGAACACTGGCCCTGACCACAGGCAACACAGTGGCCAGGTTGTTTTGTCTTTCATGGGGTCTTCCCTGGGAATTCCCAGCATGAAGCCAAGAATGCCACACAAAGGTCCATGGAACCAGCCGGGCCCCAACAGAGCTTTGCTGATCAAGCAGCAGGTATGGACTTTGCAAGGGATGGGTGCAGAGAGGGCAAGGACGGAGGGTCCTAGGAGACCCCAGAACACCCACCCCAGTACATCCACAGAATCATAAGAAGGCCTGGAGGGAGGATGGTCACTATACTAAACGTCCCTGGAGGGCATTCCCTGGCCCCTTCTGTCTCCCCAATAACACAATTACCTATATTGTCTGTCTCTCTCCCTGTGAATAGAACCTGATTGCATGGAGCCTAGAATGTTCACCGGGGCTTGTCAAAACCTAAATCCCCTCTAATTGTTCTTACAGATGTCTTCTCTCCCAGCCAGACTTTCTCTCGCCTCTCCTCTGGTGTCTCTGGGATGGGAGGTCACCTCATACACTCCCACAGCTCCACAGGAGTGTACCTGCCTGAGCCGCCAGCCGTTGAGGGTGGATGGGCAAATTGATGGGCAGCCACAGCAGCGGGCAGGGCCTTAGAGGGAGCCCACTGCCCAGCCAGTGACTCAGCTGAGGAGGAATGGAAGCTGCTGCCCAGGAGGGGTGGGGGCCAGGCAGGCCACCCAGCCAAGCCACTGGAGCCTCAGCCTGTGGAGTGGAAAGAATAACAGAAGGCGGGCCGCGGTCTGTATAGGGGCGACGCCAAGGTGTGTACTTTATACTCCAGTAAGGAGGGGGACCAAAGAAGGTGTCATTTCCCAGCTGCCTGAAATGCCATCTGGCTTCTCCTTCACCTCGGGCTGTCCTCACTCATCCCTTCTGGTCATCCCCCTTCCTACCTGCACAAGTCCCCTCTCCGTGTGGTGTGTGTGTGTGTGTGTGTGTGTGTGTGTGTGTGTGTGTGTGTGTATCCTCCTACCTAACTCTTCCATAGACCCCCAGCCTAAGTTCTAGAAGGGTAAGGAAGAACTGACTGTCCAGTTGCTTACCATCTTCCAGCCTCTAACCGCCCCCTTGGAAAGCTGAGAGCCATGAGGGAAGGATTTTTCAGGGTCCTAGAGTAGGGTAACTGTCTCCACCCTGCGACAGGATCCTCAAATCCCCGGCTCACACCACACTTTTTGGTCTGGGAAGCCCAGGATGGCTATAAAAACTGGCATCAGGGCTCAGGGCCACAACAGACTCCAGCCAACAGACTCCCCTCCCCCCACCGAGGCCACATTTGCTTTCCAAAGCTAGCAGGGTGAGGGGCCATCAGAGGGACAAAGTGGGACTGCAAGGAGGCAGACATCAGGAGAAGGGCACGGAAAGGCAGGGATACAGGAAGCAGAAGTCCCCCCCACTCAGCCTGCCTACTTCCCTGCACAAGGGCGGGCGAGGGAGGCACCCACACCCAGACACTCTGGCAGCTGGCCTGGGCTTCCTCCGCCACTGACCTTCAAAGAGAACCTCTCCTGCCACCGCCTCCCCAGCAGCAGCCCCCCCCCCCTGGCCCACTTGCTAGAGCTACCTTAATTTCTGAATGAAGGACTTCATCTAGCGGACAAAGGCTTTGTTCCCCTGGGGCTGGGCTGCCTGGCTATGCTATCTACCTTCCCATGAACCCTAAATCAGCTTGGAGCTTCTGCCCTGAGCCAAGCCTGGATCCATGTGAGCATGTATATGGCTACAGCCTATGTAAAAAGCCAGAGGCATCCAGAGCCTAGTGGTGGTGGTGGGGTAGCCTCCACCAGGATTCTATTACCATGGACCACTCTGAGCTCTGCCCACCTGCTGGACAGGAAACCTACTCCAGTGTCTTCCCACTCCAGGGGGTCTTGGGTCCCCTGTTTGGCACACTGAAGTCTCTCAGTGCTAAGACCCAACTCCATCTACAAAAGCACAGAGGAAATGTGGCTGGAGAGCGGGAGGCTTCCAGAAGTGCTAACAATGTCTTTTTGTCTCTTACAACTGCTTGTCCCTACCTCCTCAACCAGACTCCAGCCATTCCTTCCTGGGCAGTAGGCCAGCCACTCTGTACAGTCTGTCAGATAGGACCCTCTGGCCCAGGTTGGGAGGGAGGGAGTGTGAGGCCTGGCTTCCACAGGTGAAACCATCAGACGAGGGGACACTCCGGAGTTCTCCAGGCAGCCCCACTCCGGCTAGCCCTAGACCACCAGGGCAGCCAGGGCCAACATGTGGAGTGCATGCAGTGATGCCTGTGAGGAGCCCTCTCCCCACACATCTGGTTAGACCTCCCAGAGAAGGGGTAGTCGCCCACCTCGATGGAAACAGTGACTCTTCAAGTTCTCAGCCAGCCATGGCCCTGCACACCTGGGCCCCACATCCTAACCAGGCTGGGGCACGGCCCTCCCTGTAATATGAGCTGCATTACTCTCACTCTGGCCATAGGGTGCCCTCCAGGCTTTTGCATCTTCAGGGCAACATGGGCATTCAGGAACATGGCCCCTGAGTATTCAAGTCTTATTCTTCCTATCAGGTTCTACTTCCTGAGGTCAAGCATCAAGCTCCCTCCTTCCTAGTACTTAATGAAATTCAGTAAACAGGAGCATGGGTCACACTTTAGGCTGACTTGAGGAGGTTCCTACCCATGTGACCACCACGAAGCAAGCACACATATAGAAAGCGTGTTTTGTTTCTGGAGCCTGGGTCAGTATGTCCTAGCCTCTGATCATTTTCATCCTCAGGGGAAAGAAGGCCAGGAGCTCTGAAGAGGAGGACTGTGGAGTCCCAATGCATGCCCTGTTTCCCACCTCATCAGAATTCTCTCCTCCTGTCCTGTGTCTCCCCTGGCACTGATCATCTGTCCTCTTCCTTTCCTTGTCCCCTTGTCCCCTTGCCCGCAGATGGACCATGTGGACTCAAACCTAGGCCTTTCCCACCTGGTTCCTGGAAGGGCAACTCAAGAAGAGAGTGAGAGTGTGAGCTTCCAAAGCACCAGCCAAACCCAGAGCCCCGTGTGCTTCCCTGGGCCCCACACTCTGGTCCTGGTCAAGCCTTCCTCCTTCCTCTCAGCAACTAGCCCCCACCCCAGCTTCCCGCAGCCCCAGCAGGCAGGTCCTGGTAAAGCTGCAGGCTGAGTGATGGATGACTTGGGGGTTCAAATCTCACTCAGTCTAAATCTGAGATCCCTCTGCATCAAGCCTCTGAAGGGAAGTGAGGCGACAGTAGCTTGGCGCTGAGTTCCCAGAGGTCTCAGCTCTCTTTCTCTTAGCTCCTTGAAAAGAAGCCTTGAGGAGTCTCGAGTCTCAAGGGGAAAACCACTGCTCCCAGCCCCTCCCCCATCTGCCAGCAAGCTGTGTTAACTGCTTCCAGCATCCAGTCAGGCCTTCAGAAGCCCTGCTGCAGAATTCTTGGGAGACCTGCACATCTTCCTTTGATTTTTTTTTTTCTTTTCTCTTGTGCCTGCCAAGGAGAACGACCCTTACGGGACGGTTCAGAGAACACCAAAACCCAGAGGCTGCATCAATGATTGTCCCACTACGCCTCCAGTCACCCAGACCACCTAACAGTAGGGCTGCTGGCAAAGGGTATGATCCCCTGCGGTCCCCTCTCTCTCCAATCCCTTGTTCTACCACTCCTGCCCGAGGCAAGAGGCCCCCTTTTCTCCTTTTTAGGTTCCAGACCTGACTGAGTCCTCTGACCCAATGGAAAAAACAGAGTGAAGGAGCCCTGCAGCCTCCCTTCTGGCGGCTTCCAGCCCAAGGCCGGCGCCCCGCCCGCCCGCCCGCCGGCCGGCTCAGTCTTCGGGTTACTGCAGTTCAAACAGCACGTGCGGCCCGCGCTCCCAGCCCAGCGGTGGCGGCGGCGCAGCTGGAGGGGGCGGGGAGGCGTGCTGCTTGCGCTCTGGCTCGCCTGCTGCGCGTCTCTGCTCTAGCTCGGGAAATCCACCGGATAAACACCCACTTTCTCTTCCTCTTTCTGGAGGCTGGGTGCGCTTTGAACCTCAGCGCACCTAGACTACGCTCCCACCCCTTGTCTCCCCCACCCCCACCCCCGCCCCGAACCAGCCTGCGTGCCTGTCAGGGCAGGGGCCCCAAGCCCACCCAACCTATTCCCCTGGCTAGGCCAGGAGAATGCTGCCCACAGGGTATCTCCAGTCCCGCAACACACGGCAGAGTCGCCTTCCAGGCAACCTGTGGCTGCTAGGCCAGGTTTGGTTTTAGCGTGATCAGTCTTTGGGGCTTTCCTGGGGAAACTTTGAGAAATGGAGGTTGAGGAGTGAGGGGTGGAGCCGTCTGCCCCGCCCCCTTCTTTTTCCAGTAGAGTGGTGCACTGAGCAACCGTATCCATCACTGCAGACCCCACACGTACAAGCTTTGTCCAGACCATATCCAGGCAGACCTCACTGTCCCTAGTGGTGCCCACCATGCAGTGGGTCAGCCAAACGGTGCACCAGAGTGCATCAAGAGGAGGCCCAAGCGGAGCCCGGATTCGGGCAAGAAACCGTCTAGGCAGGGGAGCTCAGAGTTCTGTGCTCCTTACCCGAGGAAGGTCGTCGGTCCTAAGGCAAGGGTCTGAGCTCTTACCTTGCGCTTGTTGCGGTGGATGTCGCCAATGGAATTGGCCACCGTGTTGGGGCCCAGCAGCACGCGAGCGCTCCGCGGCCATTCGGTGCTCACTAGCTGGTGTTCGCCTAGGAGGATCTTGCGCACGTTCTCCGCACCGGTCACACGGATCAGCGGCCGCCCTAGCAAGTGTGTCTTGAAAACGTTGCCGTACTTCTCCCGGCGCGACGACTGGAAGCCAGAACCCTGCGGGAATGCACCAGAAGCCTCTCAGGGCTCACAGAGGACCTTTGGTGCCCTTGCATCCAGCCCCACCCTAAGCATCGGCCATCCGGTTCCTGTCATCCCCCAACATCCAACACACACGCGCGCGCGCACACACACACACACACACACACACACACACACACACACACACACACACTCTTACGGGTTTTATTTTTCACGGCGTGCATTAAGACTGGGAAGTGGGGCCTGGAGGGTAATAAATAATGCGGGAGGACGGAGATGCAGGGGCACCCACGGAAGGCTGCTTTTAGTAATGGCTTTGGGGGGGGGTATCCCCGACGGCTGGACCTGAAGCTAGAGCCTGCTCCCCCACCCCTGCGCGGTGGAGCCTCTCGGAATAAATATTTCCAGGCTCCAGGCCACGGGCTGGCGAGACCCCGCGGGGTGGCCGCAGGCCAAAGATTATTTATAGCGGCGAGTTGTGCGTGCCCGGAGGCTGTCCCCAGAGATGGGGGTTGGAGTTTCCTCTCTGCTCCGGTGTGGCCCTCCGTGGGCTCCGCAGGGTGGAGTCTTGGGCCTAGAGCCACGACTCTCCTGAAGCATTTGTCCTGAGAATAATTGGGACAGACTTTGATCACCACCCTGAAATTTGGAACTGGAGCACCCGGAAGGTGCTCCTGAGGGGCGGTGGGACGGGGTGCGGTGACCCGCGCAGGTAACCGGATCGCGGGGGCCCCGGCCGATCCCTGCGCTCCACGCCAACGGCCTGTGGCGCCGGAAACCTTCATCGCATTCGCCACCCAGCCCGTCTTAACCCTTCTCCCGCCAGGGTGCACTGGGTGCAGAGGGGCGGAGAGCCACCTGTCCAGTCTCTCCCCGCCGGACTGCAGAACTGCGGCCCGGCCGAGTCTCCTGCCTTTGCGTCGTGGTCTCCCAGGGACACTTCGGCTCCCTCCACCCAGAGACAGAAGGCTCCCCTTTCCCAGGTTGGCCCCCCTTCTCACTTTCCTTTCTCCCAGGGAAACTATACTCCAGTTAGAAGTGAACACGCCCCAGATGCGAAAAGTGACTACAGAACCCAGATTCCTAATGGCTTTTCCACATGCCTCTGGGCCCGGCGCGCGACAGGGAACGAGCCGGGAACCCCCGCGCCACCTGGAGGGGCCGAGTCGGGGACGCCCCCGTCCAGACGCCGGTTTAGACGGCGCCGGCTCCTTTAAGAGAAGTCGGGCGGAGGTGGGGTGCGGCAGAGGGGGGCACGGAGCGGGGTTCCCGTCCTCGTCTGCCGCGCAGTCTCCCTCGGTCGGTCTCACTCCGTCTCTCCTCTCCCGTCTTTTCCTCTGTTTTTCTTTTCTTTCGACACAAAAGTTGGGTTGTGAATTTTCCGAGGTCGCCGCCGCCTCGCCCCCACCCCCGCCTCTGATCTGCCTAACTATAATTAAAGTGCGTTTTTTGTGGCTTTAATAAAGAGTTATTTGTCCGCCGTTTCCACGGCCTTCACAAAGAGGACTTTCATAGGGGCGGCCGTTCGGGCCGCGAGTCCAATTTATACAAAAATGTATTTTTAGCCCTGGGCTCTGTTTAGATGGTGCTTAGTGGAAACCGAGAGCCCTTGGAGGTCCCCCGTAAAATCTGATAAATTACTCCGAAAAAAACACCGGATTCGGAGGGTTCGCTTTAACCCCTTAAACACCCCTGGTCCCTCCTCCCGGGGGACCTGACCCCCCAGGGGCGCCGATGCCCTGGCGAAGGGTGTCTCTCTAAATTCTGTGCTGGCTGCACAACACCCGCAAGGGCCCTTGAGGGACTGAGAAAAGGGGCAAGGGACATGGGGGAGGGGCAGGTCAGGAAACAGGATGGGAAGGACGATTCCGAGGCTTTGCTTTAAACGGCGGGAACCGTAGCCTACTTGAGTTATTTTATTTTCTAAATTCCCGGCTAAAGCCTGGACCACCGCCACAGTTAACCCTTTAAATGTGGAGACAAGAAACAAGCAAAAGAGATTTTGTCTCTAAGGATCGTCCGATTGGTTGAAGTGAACCCCACCCGATTGGACAAGCAACCCCCCCCCCCCAGAGACAGTCCGACCATGAGGCGTGGAGAGACCGGGGGGGGGGGGGGGGAGAATCTCTCAAACCCCTTCATACCCGCCCCTCTCCTGTCACTCGGCTCTCAACTGGGCACAGTGGTGTGTGTGTGTGTGTGTGTGTGTGTGTGTGTGTGTGTGTGTGTGTGTGTGTGTATGCTCACGCGCATTGACTGCACGCGTCTATTAATTTCAAGCCAAGCTTTCGCACGTCTAAACCCATAGGTCTGCGCGCGCGCCCGCTCATCTTTCATTTCTCCTTTTGAGGGGTTGGAGTTGTCTGTTTAGGGATATTCAGGCTGCCCCTAACGTCCGTGATCACCCGCCTGACAAACTCATCTCCCGCTGTTACCCTAGAGGTTCACCCCCGCCCCCCCCCAAAAAAAACCCTGTGGTGTATCAAATTGCAAAAGCGATTGTCTAGCATTGGACGAGGTTAACTCCAGGTTAATCTGCCTGCTACTTACCTGGGTCTGGTCCTCAACGAGCCTGGCCCCAATTGTCACCAGAGTGGAGTTGTGAGGCGTCCAGTTGCATAGGCACACTCTGGATTTCTTGCATACCTCTTCTGGTTTCCCTGTGCTAAACTGTCCCCACCCAATAAGCAAACAGACCCTTTTCCCCGAAAGCTGAGAGCTCAGCTTTCTTGCCTCGAATTTCCCTTAGGTTACCTTTTTCCTCTCCCACCACAACACACAGACACAGACGCGCGCGCGCGCATGTACACACACACACACACACACACACACACACACACACACACACACACACACACAGAGTTGTGACTAGCACCTTGTACCAGCCCAATTGTGCCTGAGCCGGATACACTGCAGGATACTGCCCGGATCATAATGTGGGCCATTCCAAGCTGCCACTGGCCCTCTCCTTCTTTACCTCTCAGCGTCTAGGTAGATACCCAGGACGCTAACACAGACTGGAAAGCTAAGCGACGCCCCTCCAGACTTGCTCCCCAGAGCTCTCCGCGCACCCTTGCTTGGGCGCCCGCAGCCCAGGCGCATCACACTTGGGAGCCCTCCTTTCTGCTCCTCAGCCCCCCAAACGCCCCCACACCCCGCCTTCAGCCCTCTGAACTAGCTCACCCGGCACCCGAGGACTCCAAGCCGCGCTGCAGCCGAGCTGGGGAAACCCAGGCGGCGCCGACTGAGGCAGAGAGGGGCGGGGCGGGGACCGACGCGTCCAAGCGTCCGAGTGTCCGAGCTACCGGCGCCCCCTGGCCGGGTACCCGCGGCTAGCGGACTCCAGGAGCAGCTAGCAGGGCGAGGGTGCGCTTACCTGTAGCAACCAGTGGCCCGTCTCTCCGATGAGCGGGAATCCCATGGAGCCCTTGGGGATCGGCAGCTTGCAGCTCTTGTCGCGGGTAGCCGCCCAACGCAGCTGCCACAGCTGCTGCGACACCGCCAGCAGCAGCGTCACGGACACCAGGCACGCGGCGAGGGTGGCCAGCGCCGACACCAGCTCCAAGCCCTCAAAGAGCATGTTGGCGGCCGCTCGGGGGATTGGCTGTGCGGGCCGCGAAGGGGGAGGGGAGGGCCGGACCAGAGTGACGGGGGAGGGGAAGCTGCGGCCGGCCGGGGGTCCTGGCACCCCTCGGAGAAACCCAGGAGATGGGGCCGAGAGAAGGGGTCTGAAGGCTGCGAGGTGATCGAAGAGAGGGAGGAAAAAGATGTCCTGGAAGAAGAAGAGAGGAGACACGAGGCGACTCGAGGTGTAACTTTGTTTGTTTGTTGTTTGTTTGTCCCTTTATGCGGGCTTAGGGCTGCTCTGGGAAGGTGAGATGGAGCTGAGTCAAGCTGGTGAGCCTGCTCTCCCCTCAACCATCACACTAGAAAAACTTTGGAAAACTTTATCCACCAGGAGCCTCTCGGAAGCCCCTTCCCTGCTCAGAGCGAGGGGGGCAAAAAGAAGGGGGAACCGAGAGCTAGCGGAAAGTGAGATCAATTTATCAAAAGTATTCCTCCAAAATTCCTAGGTGCATAAAAAGGGGGGAAAATCGGAATCCAAAAATTCCAACGAACCCAGAAACTTTGGGGGCTTGGGAAAAGGCTCCCCAGATGAGGCGAGTGCAGAGGCTGGAGCGGCCGCGGCACCCGGAGGCGGGCGAGGCGGGCGCGTTGGCCCGAGCGCGAGTGCGGAGTCGGCGGGCCGCAGCCGGGAAGGGACGCAGCCGGCGACAGAGCCCCGGGCGGGCGCTGGGGCGGCGGCGGCGGGCGGGAGGGGTGAGGCGGGGTGGGGTTGGGGGGAGGAGGTGGCAAACCCGAGCCCGGCTATCTATCAATTAAGAAAAGGCAGTCTGTCCCGGGACGCAGTCTCTCGGCTCTGGAGTTGCTGTTGGGGGAAAAGAAAAGAGAGGAGGGGGGAAAAAAGAAAGAAAGAAAGAACGGCAAAGGGGATGAAAGAGGGGGAAAGCAGGAGGCAGGACTTCAGGGCTGGTGGTTTGAAAAGCGTCTCTCAATCTGATTTGATCCAAGGCAAGGCGATGCGTGTGTTTATATAGAGGCGGGAGGCGCGCCGTGGGCTCGCGGCCAGCACCCCCCCTGGGCGCGCTCACAAAGCGGGAGGCGTGGTGAGAGGCCGGCCGGCTGCCGAGCGTGTGAGCTCCCGCCGGCCTCCCGCCCAGCCGCCCCGCCCGCCGCCCGCCGGGGACCCACTTGTAGGCGCCTCAGGAGCAAACTCAGTTCACCTCGCGCCTTCTTTTCCTTTTCGCCCGCGTCTCGCCGAGTCCAGCACCTACAGACGGATGAGAGGAGACACACGCCCCCGCGCGCGTGCACACACATTCGCGCGCGCGCGAACACACACCACCCACACCACACACACACACACACACACACACACACACACACACACACACACACACACCCCACAGACACACGAGCGCGCGCGCGCGGTGCGCACTCTCTTGGTGCCCGTTTGGCTACTAAGCTACTTCGCTCCCGCTTTTTCTCCTTCCTAAGTCCCCAACCCCATCCTCCAGCTTCCGGCAGTCCCCTCGTGGAAGGTCCTTGTCGGACTGCCCCCCTTGTTTGGGGGTTGCCAGAAGTCTCTACCGGTACCCCATCCCGCGGGATTCCGCGGGACCCTGCAGACTGCAAGTACCACATAGGTGTCATTCCCTCCGAATTGCCTCTAGCCAGGGTCCCCATTCCTAATAGCTGCATCTCCAAACCCCAGTTGTCAAGGTCCACATATCTCTTACCCTACAAGGCCTGGAGGGTCACCAGTCCCTGTGTCTGTCCTGGGCTACTGACGCTGAACTCCTCTCTAACACCTCCGAGGACACCCCCCCCCACCCCCCCACCCCCACCACACACACACACACACACACACACACACACACACACACACACTATAACTACAAGTCAGCAGCAGCCAGCATCGCCTTAACTAACTACAATACTGGTCCCGGAAAACGTCCAGCGTCTGAGACATGTGCGGTGGCCCCTGCAACCAGGAGGCCTGTACAAACGTTCATTGATACGTTTGAATAAGTAAACATGTCTGTGAGCGCAGCCACCTTCTCAGAGTCGGCCACAGAGAGTCCAGAGAGTGTGCCTGTGTGAAGTGTGATTGTGGCTCCAGGTCGCACCTGTGTGTGCTCCCGCCTGGCGTCGACCCGCCGTTGGTGGAGAGAAGTGAGTCTGGGAGTCTCTCCGTAGCCGTATATGTCTGCGCATCCATGGATCTGCCTGTTACATAGCCTCTCCTGAGAGTCTGGGACGGAGCTGTGCACATCAGCCCTGACATCTGCCTGAGTAGTACGTGGCTCTCCCTGCCAGGTGCCTCCGGTTTTCCCCGCAGCCCTCTTGTCCTCTTATTCCACTCCCACACTCCCGGAGCAAATAATATTAACAAATCATCCTAGACCTCCCAACTATGGTTTAGGGTGCTGGACTTGTAAAGGAAACTAACCCGCCCTACACTGTTAATCGTCCCTTGCAGCCAGTACTGGATCTGCTGTAGAGCTCCCTAGCAGAAAATGCGCGAGAGCGTCTAAGATGCGCGCCTGTGTGCTGCTAGGAGAGCGCTCCGACAAGGCGGGCGTGCTGAGCCCTTCCCGCCGGGCTCAGGCTGGAGCGCAGGGTCAGCTCATGCTCACTCTCTGCCCTGGAACCCCACCTGGTGGATAGTTGTAGTACTACATCTGCAGGGGACACCATCCTGGCTTCCCTTCCCTTAATTGTCTTTTCCTAGCTGAACACCAGCTCCAACCAGCCAATTTAAAGGCATTCCTAGGGGTTCAGTTTAAGAACCCTTAGGCTGCCCACCCCCATAGAACAGATGGAACTTGGACACTAGTTAACCACTGTGACCCCAGAAATAGAGAGCTGGGGAGTGTCCACCTAGGGGAAATTTTATTTTATAGGACTGCTTGGCAACCAAGAGCAGCGAGGCCAGCGGTATTCCAATCTCTCTGGGATGGTGGCAGAGCTTGGTTGGGGAAGTTTTGGGGGCCCTGCTGTCTTGAAGTAACCTAAGATTCCCAGACAAATTCATCAGGCAAAATGACTTCAGAGAAAACCCATCACAGGGCCATCTACCTGTGGGCAGAGGGGCTTGAACACAGGCAGATAGAGGTTCACGATGAGGTTGTAAGAGAGCAGGTACAGAACCTATAAAAGGCCGTACACACGAGATCCTATCCACAGCCAGGAAGTTCCCCCTTTCTAGCCACCAAACCGAAACCACAGGACCTGCCCACTCTGGGGTCAAAAGTCCACCCTTTCCAGTATGTCCTCCCACTCTTTGGCTTTGGGGACTCTTTTGCTCCTCTCTGCCTGGCCTTTTTTCCCACTCAAGTGTGAAGTGGGAGGGAACATGGAGGGAATTCTAACTCCTTACTGCTGAGCTGCCAAGTGAGGTCCTGGAGAGTGTCCACAGGGACACATAGTCCCACAGCAACAGCTGCAGTATTTCCTAATGGGAAGTGTCTCTCTTCAAGTCCCAGTGAGTACTGAGGAGGAGAGAGGCAGACACGCAAGCAGTCATATGCAAGGCTTCTTGGAGGTGCTGCAGGCCGATCAGAATGCTGTCTGACAGAGCTTGCAAAGAGGCTAGTTGTACAGAGAGAAACCAAGAACCACCTTTGCTGGTCACACTCATGGGAGAGACAATCTGTTAGTGCCCTGGGTGGACTTCTCATGCTCATGCCAGATGGAGGCTTGATCCACAAGCCTGTCCTAAAACCACTGACCATATTAGCCCTGAATCCTGGTCACTGTCTTGGATCCCTGGTAGAGTCTGTACAGACAAGCATTTCCAGGTTCACCTTGGGTCACAGAGCACAGCCATTGTCTTCCGTACTGTCCCTAAGCTAGGACTCAACGCGTAAGTCTCCTGAGGCAGGTTAGGGCTCTAGGTCATAATACTTCTGTCATCCAGAACTTGAAATGATCTGCTTGTCCCCAGATGAGCAACCCTCCCCATCCAGACCAGTGCTGCTAATCTCAGTAACACTCACAAAAAACTTTCCCAGCCCAGGCACATCTCGGGCTTCCAATTCTTGAATGCAGTACAGGGAAGCCTGGATTCAGGGAGTGTCCACAGCGCACTCCAGGCACTTTGAAATGAGCCAGAGCAGACTGGGACCTCAGTCAGGGGACACTGGGTCAAGGGAAGTTCTGCCTAGGTGACATTTGCAAGGCTTGGTAGATGGGCCTGAGAGAAAAATGGAGGGTAGGCCTCAGGTACTGTTGAAGTCTGAAGACAAGGAACAAGGCAAGTTCCTCCAGGCTTAAGAAACCCCTGTGCGGGCACAGATCTGTCTCAAGGCCCACTCCTCAGGACACAGAGCTACCAGGATGACTGCGAGCTCCCAGCTTCGAACACCAAAGCAGTGAGAACAGTGGCCCTTCCACGCCCTTCTCTGTACACATTCCCGGGTACCCACAGCTCCCTTCCTCACGTTGCACACGGTGCTGCAAGGTACCACTGTTTTTAGAGGGATTTGTATATCCGTTTGATGAGAAAACTGCCCACTGTTTGCGCCACTTCCTCTCCTCCCAACTAACATATCCCCTGAGTTGGGGCACACTCTATTGACTAGAGGAAATTCTCCATTTCATACTCAATTTGCATAATTTAGGCCCTGATTTTTTTTTCTGGTTGATGCTTCAATTTCTTCACCCCAAAACTTCTCATTCCTCTAGCCAGCGAGGAGTGAAAATGGGAACAAAAGGAAGCTGGGGACAAAGAGACTGGGCAGTGGTGGGTGGGAAGCATGCCTGGGCACTTAAAGACCGACTGGGTTTGCCTAGTGTCTCCCAGCTGTCCGGGGACAGTGTAGCTGGAAGGAAGGATAAGACCGGTAATTCCACCCCAGAGTTCTCTCTGCCTGCACTGCTAGCCCCAAGGAGCCCTTGGAAAGCTCATCTCACTACTCCCCTTTCTCCTCTGTTCTGTTCTAAGGTGCCTCTGCACCCCGCTTAAAAGGGCCCCAGTCCCTTCCTGGAAAAGCCCTGGGAAAGCAGGGCTTGCCCCGGCCCTTTCGCAAAGCTGAGGCTGGAACTACAACCCTGCAGGTAAGAACTGGCCCCTCTGCCCTAGATTTCTGCTCTTTTCCCATTGTTCCTTTCTTTGCCCACCTTCTCGCCTCTCTGTGCCCTCCCCCAGAACAGGCGCCGGCGCAAGGTCAGTGGTAGCCCTCTGGTGTCCAGAAACTCAAGGACAGGTTAGAGGACATTCCATGAATGTGCCCTTGCTCTTGAGGGAGAGGCTGGACCCTCACTGTCCAAGCTATTATAAAAATCACCCCCAGTTCTAGGGACTGCCTCTCTAGAGCCTGCAGAACTAAATGTTCCATTCTCCAGCATGGCTTCGGGCTGTCTGGCTATGCAGAGAACTCAGCGACCCCTTCAAAACTACCACCTGCCTGAACCCCACCAGCCCCCAGACTCTTTGGAGGTGCCATCCTGCTGATCACTGCTACCAAGCCCAAGGGTGCATTCAGTTACTGCCGATTTGTCCCTCAGGCCTTCTCTCTTTTTCTCTGTCCCTTATGGAGACTTGCCCCGACTCTGCACCCACACCCGGGTACCTTCAACTATTTTTTAAAAAATAAGTAACAGTCTACGCGCAAAAGGTTCAACCTGGCAGAGGCCTGACTCCTCACTCCCATCTCCACAGACAGGCCTGGCTAGAAGGAGCCCCTCACCCACCCACCTACAGCCCTCTGGGAAAGAACTTTCTGTTTTCCCTGGTAGGCAGGAAAGTCCGACCGCACTCCTCACCTGGGGAGGCCTCAGGTTCAGACACTTTGCCCAGAAGGAATTATTTTAGAGAAGTGGAAATCTTCCCATCCTCTCCCATCGAAGCCCCCCATCCAGACCCCTTCGGGCCCCCACCTAATCCAGTCCAGAGCAATCTGAAAATGGACTTGCCGATCGGTAGAAGGTCAAGGAGCGCAGCCGACAGCTGTGCTCAAAAGAAGAGCCTGCTCGATGGCCATGGGCGATGGGCAGGGCCCCGGGCTGGCCGTGGCTGGCAGGGACACTGTCGCAGAGATGGCGCTCCCTCAGACCCAGGGAGCCAAGAGCCCTTTATAGCCTGAAACCTGCCCTGGCACCGCCCACTGGGCGGCTGCAACAAGGGCCTGCAATGAGGGGAGTCGCTGGGAGTTGGGAGGGCATCCATTCCCGGACTTCGGGGCCAGGACCCATGCACAAAAGTCTGGATTCCACTTTCTCCCACCCTAGGCAACTCTATGTCCTGGTATGTATGAGTCTCTCTCTCTCTCTCTCTCTCTCTCTCTCTCTCTCTCTCTCTCTCTCTCTCTCTCTCTCTCTCTCTCTCTCTCTCGTGTGTGTGTGTGTGTGTGTGCACGCACTCCTGCTTAAACGTCCATTCAAAGACATCAGATCTCTTTCCCCAGTGTGTGTGTGTGTGTGTGTGTGTGTGTGTGTGTGTGTGTGTGTGTGCGTGTGCGTGCGCGCACTCCTGCTTAAACGTCCATTCAAAGACATCAGATCTCTTTCCCCAGTGTGTGTGTGTGTGTGTGTGTGTGTGTGTGTGTGTGTGTGTGTGTGCGTGTGCGTGTGCGCGCACTCCTGCTTAAACGTCCATTCAAAGACATCAGATCTCTTTCCCCAGTGCGCTTTCTCCGGCGGCAGTTTTTGAAAGGATGGGGACAGCAGTGCATTTCTGCTCAGTTTATCAAGTTACACTTAGTGACAAAGAACTGAAGGACAATCAGGATCCAAGGAGAAAAAAAGAAAGCGTGACAGGGAAGCCAGAGCTTTTGTGGAAGGTAAACCACCAACAGAAAAAGGCTGGCCAGAGCATGAAGTGAACCTGCCTACACATTGCTTGGTGTTACAAACTGCTTCCTCCACCCTCCTCTGCATCTTCGGAGATCCCAGGGACCCCAGAAATACAAGTGTGTCGATTTGTGAATAGAGCGCTGTCCACTTGGGCAAGGACTGAATCAGAAAAGCCAGAGTGTGACCTCCTCCCTCCTGGGCCGTTAGGACTCCCAAGATCTCCTCCCCCGGCTCCCCCCCACCCCGGCCCTATGCCAGGGAAGCATCCCCAGAGAGGTCACTCAAGAAGGTCCTCTGTGTTCCCCCATTGCAGCCCATCTAGCCAGCTTCTCTTTAGGGACACAGTGGGGACAGAGATGGGGTGGTTCTCCCTGCTAAGCCAGACTCCATATTTTACCAGGATGGCTGAATGGACAGGGATGGACTGGCAGGGTTGGTTTGTGGCAGAAGGAGGTTTCATAGGAGCACTGGACTGCTCTCACTAGGGACAGAGGACAGAGTGGCAACCAGAAGCAGACAGACAGTCTAGGAGAAAAGCCCAGGAAAGAGAAGCAAGCCCCCCACCCCCACCCCATCCGCTTTCCCCAGTCTGCTGGGTGTCGTTCCAAAGCTGCTGTTCCAAGCTAACTCATTGCCCCCAGCTAAGCTGGAGATCTAGTCGGCAGATTCCTCAAGTTAAAAATGACAGGAGTTACTTCCTCCTGCCTGTGGCCTCTGCTCCTGCAAACTCTCTCTCTCTCTCTCTCTCTCTCTCTCTCTCTCTCTCTCTCTCTCAGAAGGACTTGGAAAAGCAGAATCCCTGACCTTGTGGTAACCCAAGCTCTCCCACCCCAGCTCCAAGCTCACTTGAGTCCCCAAGGCTGCAGCTTTATCTAATCCTCACCAGACGCTGGTGGCCGGAGATAAGAGGAACCATACTTAGTAAGTCTCCCCATTCCTGCTACTCTTGCTGCATCTGGACCATTTTAATAATGCCTGTGACTCCTCCAAGGCCCCACTCAGCGGTCCCCAAAAGGGTCTTAGAAGGACCCCAGCCTTTCTACCCCCTTGCCTCCACCAACACCTCCAAACTCATGTTTCCTATTGAACTCATCCCCAGCCTCCGGCAACAGCCTTGCCCAACAACACCCTTTCTCTGCAGGCATCTGGGGCCTCTTGGACATGCTCATTAAATTCTCACTTTGGCCAGGTGGTGGTGGCATACTCCTTTAATCCCAGCTCTCAGGAGGCAGAGGCAGGCAGATCTCTGTGAGTTCGAGACCAGCCTGGTCTACAAAGTGAGATCCAGGACAGCCAGGGCTACACAGAGAAACCCTGTCTCAACCACAACCACACACCTCTGCAAAAAAATTCTCACTCTCTTGGCTTCATTCCTTTCTCACTGACCTGATGTTCTGTGTCCATGTATTTTTCATGCTTACAAACAGGCAGGGACCTTGTCTGAGAAGAACACCAGAGCCATTTAGACCTAGGCTCAAAACCCACTCTGTCTGACCAGCCTGAGCAGTGTAGACAGTCTGCCTGTCTATGGGTGATTTGACAGGGCAGAGAATGGATGAGAGGAGACAGCAGTAGTAATCATAGCAAGAATAACGTAATCCCAGCACACACAACAAAATGCTCGCCTATGTGCCATGCATGCTTTCATAGACTCTCACAGCAGCCTGGAGCCGGAGACACTGTCAACCCCACCTAACAGAGAGGACCCAGGGTAATTCAGCAGCTGGTTGAAGTGGCTCTAGCTACACACTGAGACCGAAACCTAGGGCTCTGGACCAGAAGGTGGGCCTTGAACCCAGAACATCGAACATGAGATCCAGTCACAGTGAGGACAGAGGAGAGGACACAGATTCCAGAAGGGATGTCCCGGTGAACACATCGGGCAACTGGGGGGGGGGGGGAGATAGGGGAGTCCTAGTTGGGGAGCTGGGTGCCTGGTGACAAAGAGATGTCCTGAGCTAGGGAACTTAGGATGAGACTTGAGAGCAAGGTCATGAGTTTGGTTTGAGTCACAATTAGGTTCTCAGTGGCCTCAGGCTATTCCAGACATGCTGTCCTCAGTGGCCTCAGGCTACTCCAGAGATGCTGTCCAAGGGCTGTAGAGGTCTGGGGTATGGAAGACAGATTGGGGGAACTCGTGTGCACGTGGTTGCTAACGGGAGACGCTGGAGAAGGAGCCAGCCCAGAGAGAGCAGGCAGCCTAGGCTAGAGTCTCACAGAATACCCAATTAAAGGCTCTGGAGAGGGAAAGAGGCTGAAAGGGAGGACTCTGGCTTTGCCTCAAACATATTCGAATTAATCTTGTTTGAGAGTACCACTTTGTCTGTTTCCCTGACAAAGAACTCAGAGAATCTTTGAGTTCTCCAGGGATTCAAAAGTTAGCAATCACAGCCCCTTTCCAACCCAGGGACCCTGAAAATGCATTGTGTGTGTGGGACACACACACAGATATGAGCGGGTGGGAGGAATGTTTGGACACAGCTTCCTGACCCACAGACTGCTATTTTGCTGGGACTTTTGTTTAGAGCATACACATACACTTTGGGAGGATGTGGGTATAAGTCTTGTTCAGCCCCAGCTGACTGGGTCCAGGCTGCACAACTTTCCTTAGGGTGCAGCTCACGCTCTGCAGGCTGCGTGGCCTGGGGCACACACTCTCAACCCTAGTGCTCAGGGATGGGGCAGCAGAGTTGTCGAAGGAGGCAGAAGTGTGAAGATCTGGTTAGGTTGAAAGAAGGACCAAACCCCAAACTGAATAGATGAAGAGGCCCTGTGTGGGGACAGGGATGGGGATAAAGAAAGCCAGGCAGTGAGTGGCTGGTCCCTGTGTGGAGGATGCGGCACTGAAAGAGTCCCACCATCGATCCTCAGTTTCTTCTACCATGTAGAAACTCTTTTCATCATTTAGAAACGAGAGGCCCAGAAAGAGGAGGGCAGGGGCCACATAAGGGAAAGGAAATGGATGGGGATACTTTAGCAAGGCTTCGACAAGATGCTACTAAAGGCCTGGCCCCAGGCTGGGTAAGGCCTGGGAGAGAGACAAGCCATCGTCCCCCAGAGCAAGTGTCAGTCATGGAGAAGATATCTGGGCCCTGGAGGAGTCTGCCCTGCTTCTCTACTGGGCACCTTGTGCTCACAGGTGTCCCTACAGCTGCTCCTGGACAGCCCTGGATTTCTGACCAAGCTGCGCTTGTTCAGCCCCTCCTCTCTTTGCATGAACTGGTTCAGGGGCTGAGCTTTCTGGTCCTGTGGCTCTATCCTGGCAGTGGGGCCAAGGTCAGTGAGAAGAGCCTACGGACCAGGTCCCATCAGCATCTGTCACTTATAAGCTTCATAGTCCTAGACAAGTCACTTTCTCTCTCTCTCTCTCTCTCTCTCTCTCTCTCTCTCTCTCTCTCTCTCTCTTTCTCTTTCTTTCTTTCTTTCTTTCTTTCTTTCTTTCTTTCTTTCTTTCTTTCTTTCTTTCTTTCTTTGTTTCTTTCTTTTTTAAGCTAAGGTCTCATTCATGTAGTCCAGGCTAACCTCCACCTTGCTTTGTACTTTAAAGTGATCTTCAGTTCCTCACCCTTCTGCCTCCAGCTCCCGAGTGCTGGGATGACAGATACACTCTGCAGCACCTGGTTTCATTTTCTTATACAAATAGGGATGATAAGCCTTGCCTCCAGAGACAATTGACTGTTTTGGGTTTTTTTTTTTCTTTTAAGACAATGAGTGCATTAGATGCAAGATTGTAAAACATCAGTAGCGAACTTCTGCCCTCCGGGGTTCTCCCATTGTGCTGTAAGCCTGTATTTAAGACCTCCTCCCTCCTTCAATAAACAGCATTCGGCATTAAAAAAAAAAAAAAAAAAAGATAATGAATGCAAACCCTTTGGCTCGAGGTTAATAAGCCTGAAGCTGTAGGAACCCTTGCCTGAACAGGATCCTTCCACGGCCCCAAAAGAGTTCCTAGTAGGTCATAATTCTGCATGATTTTCTTTCTTTTTTTTTTTTTTTTTAATTTTATTTTTTTGAGACAGAGTTTCTCCGCGTAGCTTTGGTGCCTGTCCTGGATCTCACTCTGTAGACCAGGCTGGCCTGGAACTCACAGAGATCCGCCTGGCTCTGCCTCCCGAGTGCTGAGATTAAAGGCGTGCATGCTTTTCTTAAATAATGTCTTCTAAAACAAAAAATCTTCAGGGTCCGTGAAGGTTAGCGCCTGAAAGGGAGTGATTAGCCCTGACATCCCACCCCATTCTCCTCCTTTTCAATGCCTCCCGTTTGCTGGAGTGGCCTGGCTGCCCAGCATAAGTTCCAATGAGCCCTCTGTACAACCTTCACCCAGACAGAAGGCCAGAGCAAGACCCCTTCCATGGAAATGTGGCCCAGGCCTGGTCTCATTCCTCAGTGGGGCTCACTACCTCTACCTCCCACC